CATACAAACTGATGCTCACTGATTTATAGTTTCTTATTCTTATATCATCTTATTCCAGAACTAGTCATTATTAATAATAATAATCGATAAAATTCTTTGAATTATTTATGAGGCTACCCTCATTGTCAAATGATTTATCTCTACATTCAAATGGGATTCAGTGATTCTAAAACTCTATAATAACTTTTAGCTATTAACATTGCAGTTCTAAATGTGTATATAATTTTCTTCTTTCCTCCTCTCTTTCATTCTGTCTTATATTCAAAGGTTTTTATAGATTTGCACAGGGAATAAAAAACACTGAATGTTAAAAATGGAATCATGTTGCAGATAGTGTTTATAAACTGGTTTTTGGTTGGTTGGTTGGTTGGTTGGTTGGTTGCTCGCTTGCTTGCTTTTATTTACTAATGTGTTGTTAGCTTCTTCCAATGTCATTATCTGTCCAACATATGATTTAGAAAGTTAGAGTTTTGCCATAATACTTTTTACCAAATCTACTACCGGACATTTTGATTACTTTTAGATCTTGCTTCTTTTTTAAAAATGCTACAGTAAACACAAGATGGGTATCATTTAATTTTAAACAAGGATGAGGAAGTTTAAAAGAGGGGTGCATTAAAGCCAACTAAGCCTCTAAGAAAACTTGATAGGGCTCATATATCCTTCGCTCATATATCAGATGCTAGTCTTCATTGCTCTGTGAGGACATCAAACTTCCTGCAGTTTTTAGATTACCTAAACACACTGGGCATTTTGTGCAATCAAGTGATAATTGTTTATGTTATGAACATTATCATTTTGAAAGCAGTGTCTAAAAATAGTAAAAAGGGGTTGAAGGGAAACATCTTCTCACAGCAAAAAATGAAAAAGCCTAACATAATCCAAAACTCTCTGCTCTCTCGCCCACCTTAAATACCACAACACTTGGGATGAATACAATAAATAAAAGCATGTTATATGGAGGCATGTGAGATCTAGGTTAGGGTTTATTGCAAAACAAGCCAATCTGATTCAACAAATACTGAAACAAAACACTGAGCTGTGCCCTGAAGTGCATGCAAAAATGAACAAGTGAAATTCTTACTTTCAATGCATTTATAATCTGGCACTGTGGTAAGAAGGAAGAAGTAACTTTTAGGGAACAGAAGATGCTAATATAACATGCCAGCAATTTTTTTAATGAACTGTCTATAGGAAAAATTGCACCTGCCACCCTGGCTGGTTGGGCTCAGCGATTACAGCATTGGCCCATGGACCAATGAGTCTCAGGTTCAATTTCAGGCACGGGTATGTACCTTGGTTCAGTCCCTGGCCCTGGTCGGGGTCATGCAGGAGGCAACCAGTCGATGTGTCTCTCTCACATCAATGTCTGTCTGTCTCTCTCTCTCTCTCTCTCTCTCTCTCTATCTATCTATCTATCTGTCCCTTCTTCCCACTCTATCTGAAGATAAACAGAAAAATAGCCTCAGGTGAGGATTTAAAAAAAAATTGCACCTGCCAAAGAAAACGGGCTGGGGGCGGGAGCATAGATACATGGGAAGCATGAACTTCACGGTAGATCCAGATATGACAATAAAAGCAATAGCACTGAAAACCCGAGGAAAAAGGAAAGATGGTTTAAGGCCAGATGATGATGCCACATGATGAACTATTGGGAGTCAGAGGCAGGAAACCACATCCTGTTGAGAGAATCATAAATACCTTCAGGTGAAAGATGGCATCTGAAAAAGGTGTGGGCATGATGGTGGGATGTCCAAACTCCAAGAAAAGGAAATGGGTATGGGAGCGTCTGCATTCCCTAGAACTCTTTATAGAGTCTTTCACAGGGAAGATCTGGCATAAAACTAACCTTTTTGTAACCTAAGCCCTCCTGAGACATAAGGGAGCAGAGACTCTCAACACAAACCTTAACTTCCCAGAAGTTATAACACACACCTTGACAAAAGTGCTAGCCTCTGGGCGAATGTCTACCCAACAGATAAAAGGGCACAAAAGGCATCAGTGCTACCAAAGAGAGTTTTTCAATGAAGGGCCATAGTTTTTCATCAGTCTGTTCACCAGTTTCAAATCTGAGAGTGAAGACTTGATGTGAGAATGATTTAGCAGAGACAAATGAGGATCGTTTAGGAAAAGACAAATGAAAGAAAATGTTTAAACAAATTCTTTCTCAAATTTGGCTAAGCATCAGACCCATCTGAGCTGATAGAAGTATTCATCCCTGACCCCCACACACCCACCTTGGGTGATGCTGATTCAACAGGTTTGAGGTGAGGTGTGAGAATCTATGTTATGCAAAACCTCTCTAAGGGATTCCTATGTATAGTCAGGTTTAGATTCATGGTGTAATAGGAAATCCCTGCCTTCTATGAAGATGCCAAATACACAGGGATGGGCAAAAGTAGGTGTATGGTTGTTCTTTTAGAAAAAGACATGAAGGTTATGATTATTACAATAGCTTTATTAACTCAAAAGAATATCACTCGCTACTGTAAGCCTACTTTTGCCCACCTCTGAATATATTTGTATATGCATATAATGTTTCTCAGCATAAATAGGTAGAAAGAAAATAAATATAATGTTTCCCTGGACAAGACCCATAACATAAAACTCCATCTCAATTTTCCCCTCTGAAAAACAAAAGATTTAGAATATAAAATAATTCAGATCCTTTGTAGTTCTAAAATAACATAAGTTTGGTGCTTAGTTAAGTGAGATCTTTAAAGAAAAATTAGCTCAAGGGAAAAACATTCCATCTGGACTTATTGAAATGCTGTGAAAAGTTTTCAGTTATAGAATTTCCTCTTCTTTTTTATGATCTTTTTTTTGTAATGCTCTCTTTAAGCTCACAGATATGGCATATTTTTAAAGAATTCTTATAAATATAAATTCCAGACTTTATTTTACATAAGCCAGACTAAACAACAATGGCACAATGTACCAACATTACAAAGTACGTATGATTTATACAGAGTATAAGAACTTGATGTGGATGTTCTTTAAATGTTCATGAACCACATCCTACTTGATTGGGGGTCTTTTCCTTCCTCTATTCAAGACAGGTTTGGCAGCTAGCACTGCTTTCCTGAGACAGGATGCGCCTCTGACCACTCAGCACCTAGGACAGCTCCTGCCTCCTGGTAGCTTAGCAAAACATATTTATTGGATGAATTCATAAATTCACAGATAAGCAAACATTTTGCTCTTTGCAAAAGTTTTCACCAATGGCTCTTAAACTGTATATTTCTAATGACAATTTAGTCTCCTTAGTATTTTAGTATTATTCTTACCCTGGCGTTTTTATATGTGAGTAAATAGGTTGTGATACTATTAGCATAGGTAGCTAATTAGTTACTAATAAAGGCAGTAAAATGGAGCCATACATCTAATTAAGCCAGATTATCTAGGAAGCTATAGTTTCATAGACACCCAGAGGATAGCCACATTGCCCCACTAAGGGGATTAACATCCCACCCCCAGCAGGGAGGAAGGCTTTCCAACCTGGAAAATTCTTCTGCTGAGCCATGAGAAGTAGTAGGAGCTAAGACAGTGACAGAAAGGGGAGGAGTATAGCCTGGGAAAACCTGGAAAATGGATCAGACAGAATCAGGGACACAGAACCCCAAAGATCCAGCCTAGGGGGAAGGCCCAGCACAAACCCACGAGGAGCCAGGAAAGAGATTGGTTAGATTCAAAGGTTCACTTCTTCCCAAACCCAAAGTAATATAATCAAAGCTTAACCAAGTCCTGGGGCTCATTCATTTGTACGTTCCCTCCATAGCAGCCACATTAGCCCGGGTGTAGCAGCCACGAAAGCCCAGGACAAAGCAGAGCACCCAAACTGGGCCATCGCACATCTGGAGGCGGAGACTATGCTAGACTACCAGAGCCCAGGGAGATGGCATTACAGTTCTGGATCCTGACCCTCCTGGTGGGCACCTTTGCTCACCAGGCCCATGATTCTCCCTCAGCAAGATGGAGCTGAGCCACCTTGTCATGGATGAGACAACCAGGCACCAGGGGGTAGTCCTTTGTTTTGGCTCCAATAAACCTTGCCACAATTGCTCACAAGCGCCTATGCATGAGTCCCCAGAATGCTTTTCTCATGACTGTGGAAGAATCCTGTTTCCACCGGCAACAGTACCAATTCCAGTGTGGTAGAAGTAGAAAGATCCCCATACCAACAACAGGCAATTCCTGGACACCAGCTGGAGGGGTCCTATGGCTCAACTCAACTTATAACACTGTCTACCCTGAGACGGCATCAGATTCCTCAGGCTAAGGGTTCAGTCTTAAAAGGACACCCCCGACCCCACTTCAGATGCCTCCAGTCACAAGCCCTGGTTATTACCTGTACTTCTGAGAACAGACTGTAAATCAGAGGTTCCCAAAACTTCCTCCTTAGATCTGATTAATTTGCTAGAGCTGCATACAGAACTCAAACATTTCACCTATTAGAATACTTTTGTTTATGTTTAAAGGATGTAACTCGGAGACAGTCAGAAGAGATACAAGAAGCACGGTGAGGGGAGAGTGCAAGGAGCACACCACTCCCCCAGCACCTCTGCATATTCACCAACCAGTTAGGGCTCCTAACCGAGTCCTTTTGAGTTTTCCTGGAGGCCTCATTACATAGTCTTTCTTGATTACATTACTGGCCATTGGCATGTGAGTCAACCTCCAGCCCCTCCTTCAGATGATGGGGGTGGGGGGTACCAAAAGTTACAGGCCTCTATTCATGTGGTTGGTTCTCCTGGCACCCCGCCCCCATCCTCAGGTTATCCCAGGGCTTCCCAATTGTCGCTTCATTAACATAACAAAAGACACCTTTATTGCTCTAATTCCAAGCCTTTTAGGAGCTCTGTGCCAGGACCTGGGTTGAAGACCAAATGTATATTTACTATAAATCACTATATGCCTGTGAGGTTAAATCAGTTTCAGCCTTTTAACCACATTCAGCATTAAACTTCAAGAAAAGGCTCCTGAGCTGTTGAATTACCTACCTGCAAGTGCTGCTTTTCTGCATGACGTCAGCTCGATGATACCCAGAGAGTTTGCAAAAACCGTCATTACTATAAACTACAGGCCAATCTACAATCTGGGCGTTTCCCAGTAAGAAACTCGATTCTAAAGAAGAAAGAGGAAAAAAAGGAAGTGTTTAGCTTCAGTTAGCAATGGACTTCTTTCAAGTAATCAGAAAAACAAATTCATAAAAATAGGCAAATGCAACTATGGTTTACTATGGTACAAATAATAGAACCTGTTCTTGAAATTGACATAATGAGTTTAGCATGATCATCAAATGAGATCTGCAATAAGTACAAGATTTGCATACAAACTAAAACTCCATTGAACAGAAGCCAGCTTATATAATACCTCTTTCTGCTCAGGTATACTCTAAACTATGAAAACAAAGTATGGTTAATATTAAATAAATGTTAATAACTATAATAATTATACCTTCAAACAGGTTAATTTATCAAGATTAGGGCTACAGTCACTTCTCCACAACTTGAAAGTATTGGACTTAACAACAGAGGCAAACTTGTATGACTCCTCCAAAAATTCTATTAATATAATTTTGGACATGATAGAATAAATTTGCTTGATCTTAAGAAGTCTAATTTAAAATAACATAGAAGAGTTTCTTTTTAAAATAAAATTATTCAGAGATATTATTTTCAAACACATGCTACACAAAATTTGGAAACTATCTTTAGTTTAAATAAAAAACCATCTCTGGTCTATTTTGCATAAAGAAGTGGTTTTCTTTATATATAAAATTAATACAAAAATAATATCTTTTGACATCAACCTTGATAAAGTCCAATAGTCTTAGTCAACAACTTTAGCAATATTTAGACAACATGATAAATATGTTAACATTAAATTGAGGACAATGTGAAAATATAAAAATGAAAATTATTTTTAAAATAAGTATTTTTAAAAATTCAAATTTTTAAAGGAATACTACACTTCAAAATACTCAAACTATCTACCTAAAATAATCTCCTTTGAACTGATATTCAGAGTAGTGTACTAAAAAGATAAATTAATTTATGAATAGAAAACTTTAAGTCTAAATCCTGACTCATCTGTGGTCTTCATAAAAAGCACAATGCGATTCAACATTTACTAAGTAGCTACTAAGTAAAGGACACTACTCTGGGTCAGACAATGGCTACAATAAAGATCAAAAAAAATCCCCTTTACTCTCAAAAAACTTACATATTAAGAAAAACAATTACATAACAACCAATTACAATTTAGCAGAATAGATGCTAAATCAAGGAGCATAGGACAAAATATGGAGGGAGGGATCTGTTTTAACAAAGGTAGGCAGAAACTCAAAAATATAAATCCTTGAATAAAAGGAGATACCTTAAATAAGAGATTCATTTAACTGTCCATTTCCCTGTGAGCACTTCCCAATTTGTATAGTTCATGGGAGACAGAATTCAAACAGAAAAGTCAAAGGTCTCAATTTGGGGCTGCCAGAGCAGCTTAAAGGGGGAGATGCTTTGATATAAAGAGACATAAACCTATATATGAATCGCCTCAAATTCTTATCTGTTCATACACAAGATAAGACTACTAAGGAACTCATCAAGTCTAAAAATCACTAGCGGGCTAAAAGGCAGGCAGAAATTTCACCACCTCCCCAAGGGTACACGACAAATTTCAGAGTTCAAATCCTATCAAGCTAAAGAAGCTTGGTGAATTCTTCAAGATTTCCATTTAAGCCACAGAAGGCCATTCTTTAGGTGTAAGAAATAAGTCCTAAAATAAAGGTCTATGACCTGGCAGTAAGATAAAAAATATAGAAGTCTCTCTCTCTCTCTCTCTCTCTCTCTCTCTCTCTCTCTCACACACACACACACACACACACACACACACACACACGCAGCTAAAATCATGATCAAGACGACCCACCAATAATTTAACTACCTGCTAAAATAAAATGAATCCCTCTTCAGAGTAAAATAATTAAATCAAAAATATCTATCCAATGTCCAGCATACAATTAAAACTTATTAGACATGTAAATAATAAAAACCAGGGAACTGTGACAACAATCAAGGGGAAAATAAGCAATAGAAAAAGAAATTGATAATGGGAACATAAAAATAAACAATACAATCTCTGGGATAAAAAAAAATTCATTGAATAGGTTTAACAGTTTAGACTCTAAATAAAGACCAATTTAAAAATATATCAATGAAAGTTATTGCAAACTGAAGGAAAAAGAAACAGATTAAAAAGACATCCTGTGGGACAATATCAAGCAGTCTAAAATATATGTAGTTGAGTCTGGGGGGGAATAAAATGACAGAATAAAGCATAAATGTTATTTAGATAAATGATGGCTAAAATTTTTCCAAATACCATAAAAAATAACCTACAGATATTTGCTCAGTAAACCTCAAGCAAGATAAACACAAAGTCGTGGTAGGAGGATAACAGTAAAAGTGCTGAAAACAAAAAGTAAGAGAAAAGAGATACAAAGCCTCATATAAACGGTCAACTGATAGTTTACAAAGATGCCAAGGTAGTGTTGCCCTTAGCGGGAACCGAACCCAGGTCTCTCTGGACTGCAGGCCGACGCTCTAACTGCTGAGCCAAACCGGCCAGGGCAAAAGTGCTTTTCAATGAACTGTGCTAAAACAACTGGGTATCCACATTAGCAAAAATGTAACTATAACCCCTACCTCATACCACACACACACACACACACACACATTTAATGGGTCATTGACCTAAATACAAAAATGAAAACTAAAAAGAAAACATAAGAGGAAATCTTTGCAACTTTGAGAAAGACAAAAATTTCTTAGATAAGACTTTTATAGTAATCATCATAAAAGCAGGTGTGAATAAATACATTAGATATCATCAAAATTAAATTCAACTACTCATTCAAAAAACACTATCAAGAAAATGAAAAGGAAATCCACAACTAAGAGTAAATATTCATAATAAAGATATTTGAGAAAGAACTCCTATCCAAAATATACAAAAAAAAAAAAACCTACAAAAGGACAAATAACCCAATTAACAAAATGGGTAAATGACTTGAAGATATTCCACAGAAGAAAATACGCAGTGGTCAATAAGCGCAGGAAGATGCTCACCATCACCATGCATCAGGGAAATTTAAACTAAAAGCACAATAACATACCATTTCACTGCTCAACAAGAGTGGTCAAGACTAACAATACAAAATGTTGATGAAAATGTGGAACAACTCAAACTTTATAAAATGCTAGTACAAATACAAAATGGCATGATCACCATGGAAAACAATTTCTTGTGAAGTTAAATGTGAACTGGGACCCAGAAATTTTACTCCTAGGCATTTACTCAAATGAAATGAAAACATATGTTAATAAAAAATTTGTAGAAACATGTTCACATCAAGTTTATTCGTAGGAGCCAAAAATGGGAAACAATGCAGATGTCCACCAACAAGAGAGTGGATTAAAAATTGTGGCATATTCTTATTCCTATTTAACTGTGGGGTGGTAGAGCGACTAACAGGAAAGAGGCAGAAGAAACTTTCTGGGGAAGGTCATTGTCCTCTCTCTTTATAAAGGTATGAGTTACACAGGTGCATACATTTGTCAAAACTAACTGAACTGCACACTTAAGATCTGTATACTTTACCTCATATAAAGTATAACTCAAATTTAAAAGAAAACCCAAGGAAGACAAAAGACCAGAGATCAGAAGTTTTGGGAACAGTGGCATTTGAACTGAACCTTAACTATAAGAATGGTAATACCACCACCCTTCCTTGATACATAGGGTGATTAGAGTAGAAAATAAAATGAGCTTATTCCCACAAAAATGCTTCACAAAAAATTAAGTCCTCTATAAATACATGGTATTTTATTTTATGCATAGCACCAATTATAAATATTTATAATATGATCACCAAAAAGTAATCTCTTTCCCATCTTAGCCCAGACCAGATCCCAGTCAACCTACCCTCTCTAATCCCTGCCCTCCCACTTCATGACCAGGTAACTGTGACAGTCCATACATCTAGCGATAGGGTCTCCCTGACTCAACTCACCCTGGTTTTCAGTCTAATCTTCAGACTAATGTTCATTTGTCCCCCTGGAGCCCTGCCTCCATCCTATTACTCTTTATTCAGATCAAGACTCCTAACTTGTTACATAATCAAATCCCCCAGATTTACAAAGCCCTCTGAAATCCAGCCTCACCCTCCCTGCCTATATAAACATATTTCCCATTACTCCTAAAGTCCATACTAGTACCCTGGCCGTTTTGGATCAGCAGTTAGAGCATTGGAGAGTCCCGGGTTCGGTCCCCACTGAGGGTACATACCTTGGTTGCAGTTTGTCCCCAGCCCTGGTTGTGGTCGTGTGGGTGGCAACCACTCGATGTGTCTCTCTCACATCGATGTTTCTCCCTCTCTTTCTCCCTTTCTTCCTCCCACTCTATCTGAGGATAAATGCAAAAATGTCCTCGGATGAGAATAAAAAAAAAATTTTTTAATAAAATAAAGTCCATACTAGTGCAGTTAGGTCCATTTCCTCATTATGTCCCCAAATATACTCACTCATGATGCCCACTGTCCACTTGAAACACTCCCTCCATCCCTTTGCCTATCAAAACTTTTCAGAACCAGTTCACCTCTACCTTCTCTATGAGACATTCACTGAGTATCACTCAGCCCACATTCCCCTCTGGCTACCACCACTGTCTCCAACCCTTCACAAGACAAACTTGCCATATAAGTTGTGTATTTTCACTGGTTCCCTCTCCTCAGCTCCTATTCACTCAACTCACTCCTCTCTGGCTTCTGCCCTCCCCACTCCAAGACATCCAAGATCACCAATAACCTCTTCACATCACCAAATCCAAATGATGCTTTTTACCCATTTTACTTGACAATTCAGAATCTTGGTAACTACGCCATCCTTAAAAATTTCTCCATCATTAGCTTTCATAGAACAGCATTCCCCTATTTCTTTGGACACTCCTCCATTTCCTTTGCAGCCTCAACATTCTTTATCCAGTGAGTATATTTAGAGTTCCTCTACGTCAGCTCCGCTTACACTTTCACCTGTCTCCACAGATTCAGTAACTCAACATTTTAC